AATTGAAGAGGGCATCTCATGATCTAAAATAATTTGAGCCCAAATATAGGTACTTGAGATTGCTCATAAAACTTAAAGTTGAAAGAAAAGCTTCACGAAAGCTTTATTCTGCACAAATCCAACAATTCCAAATGTGTGAGAATAGTTATAAAACCCCAACTTAAAGTGATGGTTTCACCAAACTTTTTTCCACTACTCAAATAATCCAACCATTCTAATGAGAAAGATTGGTAAAATATAAAAGGTAATTGACTGGTAGTTTATTTTCTTCCAAGTACATATAGATGAGATTTTAAAGAGTTCATATATGGTTAGGATGATACCTGCCATTTCAATTACAAACAAATGAAATCAAATTTATAAGGAATGTGGTAGGACCAAAAATATTTTTGGAACCAAATTCAATTGACTTTATTTGTTATAAAGAAAAATTTTATTTAAGAACCACAAAGCCACAATTAAATTTCGTCAATGATTGAATTGAAGAGGGCATCTTAAATTCAAAAGAATTTGATCGGACAATATAGATACTTGAGATTGCTTACAAAACCCAAAGTTGAAAGAAAGGCTTAACCAAATCCTTGTTTCCACTCAAATCCATCAATTCCAGAGGACTGAAGTTTAATAGGTGTGGAAGGAAAGGCTTGCGACTCACCAGTTAATTTGTTATAAGACAAGTTTAGATGTATGAGACTGCCAAGACTTCCAATCTGAGTTGGAATGGTGCCTACAAATCCATCACATAAACTGAAGCAAATTAAAAGCAAGCAAATATAATGAGAAATTTTTTTTGAAACTCATAAAATAATAGTGTTATTTTTTAAAAAGCTTATTTAAATCAGGATGACCTTTATAATTTCAATCACAAGCAAATTAAGTTAAAATTGAAAGGAAAAGGAAAAGGAAAAGGAAAAGTTCGCTCAAAAAAAAAATTGAAAGGAAAAGTAGTAGGTCATCTGGAAATATTATAAGAACGTAACTCAAATTAGAGTGACTAAATTTATTAGTTATAAAACTAATTTAAAAAAAATCATCAATAACTTATATAATTTCATCAAATATTAAATTGAAGAGGGGACCTCACTTTTAAAAGCATTTAACAACAAATATAACTACTCGATATTGCTTATAAGACCCAAAGTTAAAAGAAAGGCTTTATGAAGATCTTGTGATATCATGAAAGATTAAATTATCGTCATGAACAAAAGAATTTCTGGATAAGTATAGGTAGCCAAGATTGCTTATAAAAACCCAAAAGTTGAAAGAAAGGCTTGTCAAAACCTTGTTTACACGCATCATATCCAACAATTCTAATTGACTGCGAATAATTAACAAGTGTGGAAATAAACTCACCAGTAAGATTGTTGTCAAAGAAGTATAGATGGGTGAGATTACGAAGAGTTTCAATTTGAGTTGGAATGCTACCCACCAACCCCATTCCATAAAGACCTAGCCGTTCTAGATTAGGAAATGCAGTGAAGTTAAGATCTACAAGGCGAGGCTGCTGCGGAGGGATACTTGTCTCCAAATCTGAGTAATACTTCCAAGTTCGTTGCAAACTATCTCCTCCCATTCACAGGGGTCGACCGAGTCGTTATGGTGGCTATCAATATTGCTGTAATGATAATTCCACCATTTGTACTGAATCAAAGCATATTTCTCCTCTTCTACAAAGGCAGCAGCATTATAAAAGAGAAATAAGACCATGGCTACAGTCATTGTTGGAGGAACTGACATAAGATTATTGGAGTATGCCATCGTAATAATTTATGAATAGAGTTATCAACAAATGAGTGCAAAGACAAGGTCTTTATAGAAAGCTAGCTAGCTACATTGGCCGAAGCATTTTTACGCATCTTTTTTTTTATTTATTATTATGCTTCATTGACGAGGCGTTCTAAAGTCGAATAAAAGTTTTTTAAAGCCATTATTATTATTATTATTATCTTACATCTGTTTTCTTCAATTATTGTGCTTCATTGACTGGACCACCATAGACCTCCAGCAACATCACGGAATGTTGTTTCTTCGGTGTGCGATAGACATATAATTGCCATGTCAATTTTGAGATAGCATTTTTTTTTTCTTGCCCAAAGTGAGATAACATAATGCGTACAAGTCTTATGTCTGGAAAACAGTGCATAAAATTATCACCTCAAATTTTAAAAATTCCTTATTATCTCCATTTCTTTCATGTAGGCAAAGACAAATTAAACAAATCAGGTTGTATCGAAAATTTAGATTGATGAACAAAACTTAAAATTTGTCGTCCTTTTATTTACTTTAAGGAATTCAAATTTTAATGTATTTCAGACAAAAAGATTTCATCTTTTTTCTAAGACAATTATATAATGTTTACTGTTATTTGATTAGATCGGAGCATTGTTGGATTCAATTAACAGTCATTTTTTTAATATGATGTTTTTATCCTCATAATACGAACCCTCAACGAGAACCATTCGCAACTAAAATTTCTATGATCGTTGCATGATAAAATTATAAACTACTATCACCATTTGAGACTTTTTCTTTTATCTTCCCATTTTTTTACCGTAACTTTTTCCCTCTATTTTGAAGCGATGAGCAGTGTCAGAAAAAGTTGAAAAAGAAAAAGTGAAGGTGAAAGTAAAAATTGTAGGAAATAAATATTTTTTTACCGTTGCATAATCATCAGTTTTAATTTTTCAATTTTGATATTTTCACCACAGATTGTTCGTCATTATTCAATATCAAATCACATATCTTTAGTCCTACCCAAAAAAAAAAAAAACATATATTTAGAAAACGTATTAGTTAAGCTGTCAGTCGGTGACTAACATTACTTTTTTATTTTATAATATAAGGAGTAGAACACTAACAGCAAACATTAACTCCCTCAAGGAAGGTAAAGGCTAGACCTCTCCCAACCAAATAAATTGCTTTTCTCTACATTTTCAAATATAAGAAAAAATAATTAATTCATACAGTTTAAGAAAGTTGGCTAAGTATGATAATTATGTCTAAAATTTAAAAAAAATTTGATTACATTATCCCTATAATTAATTAAAAAGTTTGTTTAGTGACAATAAATATTGATTTTATGCAGGATAATTTGGGAAAACTGTAATAAATGCTTTTTAAAATTTAAAATTAAATAAAAACAAAAGAAAAATAGTGTGGTACGTACACAAGGACTGAGATTTAACTTTCTGGTACTTGTTTAAGTGAAAAGAACCTTTACTACTCACATCATCTTTGGTTTGTGTGAATTAGTTACAACATTTTCAATTTTTAATCAATGTATTATATATATATATATATATATAAACAAGTTCTAAAAGTAATTATATATATATATATAATTGAATATGTATTATTAAATTTAAAATTTTATTTATATAATCTCCTTCTCAGAGAAAATCACCTTTATGAAAGTGTTGGTTGTCAAATGTACTTGAAGTATCTTTATGTAATATATATCTTAAATTTTTTATATTGACTGATGACTTCTTGTGACCGGCAACATTTATACTAAATATAAAATTTACTAATATTTTTTAAGAAAATATAATTCTAAATATTAATTAAAGTAATATACAAATTATTATATGTTTAAAAATATATATTAATTTCATTTGTATTATCAATTTATTTTTATAATAAATACAAGAGTGAAAATAATTTTAAATGTATATACTTTATAATTTTAAAGTCAATGTGGGGCAATTCATTTTTTATGAGGAGCCATTACAATTTTAAAGAGGAGAAAAGTGTAGTTTTGATTAAAAAAAAAAAGATAAGTGAAATGTTTTATAATTTAGTAGAGGTACTTTTTTGAAGGTTGGTTAGTCCTTGTTGATCACTATATTATATTCATAGCTTATGACTCATTCAAAGGGAATTATTTTGTGAATGTCATAGAAAGTGAACCTAGACAAGATTAATGTGTGAGGAACGCTGGAGAATATTTTTAAAAGACTAGCTCATTAAAAAGAATATTTTTTCACTTATAAACCACACTTTATTTGTAAAACTCTTTAATATATGGGACTCGTACCATTTGAGAGCTGATGGGCATGACAGCTTTGATTCATAGCACTTCACTTGATTCATTATTGATCAGAACCTTTCATGAGTCTTGTTTTTAATATTGGTTTCTGAACGAAAGTATCAATATCTAAAGAGACAATTCATTCCAAAAAAAGATTATTGTCATATTGGGAGGGATAACCCTCTAGTTTTATAAATCAGACTTTATTTGTGAAGCTCCTCAATATGAACTCATATAACAAGAAATGTCTATTGATTTGCTTTTAAAGACTAGACTTGGGCTCTAACAGAAAGTTAATGATGACAAATCCTATGTTACGTTGTAGAATCTTCTTATCCGTGTTTAGTTTATCTTTGAAAATTTCATCATATCTTATTAAATTTCTTCTTATGTTGAAGATATTCTTATACAAATATAATATAACTTTTTTGTATCAAACGATCGAAATTTCTCATTATTGATAGAAGTTAGTTATAAGGAATAAGAACTTCTTAAAAATCCAGAGATTAAGTATCCCTCAAAATTGCTGGCAAAAAAAAAATTATCCCTCAAAATAAAAAGTGGTAACTTTTATTTTCAAAAACAAAAAGGAACAATGATGCTAAAAATTGTACGACAATACAATCACCACTTTTTATTTCTCTTTCTAATATTTAATTTTAACTTCACATATACTCTTTTCATCATTATTCAATGTCACTTAATGGATCAAACACGCTCTTAAAATATCTTTAGAAAACACTGATGCAAAGAACAAGAAAATTGTCTTTGGCAAACTTGTTAGTTAAACTGTTTATCACCAATTAAATACATTTAGAATTCATTACTCATATATCCTTAGTTCCTTGTATATATCACCGACTAAAACAATTGAGGAGTAATTTATTAGATTTAGTCACAACATTTTCAATTTTTAATAAATAATTAATGTATAATCTTATATACCTGGAAAGGGTTAACGTGAAGAACACAATGTAAAAATGTTATGAGCACAAGTATAGAAAAAGAGAGTCTATTTTAAGACATGCACAAGGCTCCTCAATATGAAATTTATATATAACAATGCAATTGTTATAGTTTTTGTGTGTGTGAAAGAAAAGTCTTAGCTTGCTCAAGTGGGAAGCCAATGAAGTGGAAAAATGTCAATTTCCCCGAGTGTGAGCTAAACGTAGTATTGGGCACTTTAAAGTCGACTTATTATAAGTGTAATCCAATTACTAATACTAGTATTATTTGGTAAATTATTGTTATTGTTGTCATTACGGAAAACATAATCATTGATACCAACAGTATAGTTTTTTTTAGGTTTTTTAAAGTCCCTGTAATTTGTTTTCAGTGTTTCAATCCTTATGGTTCTTGTAATTTAACATTGTTAGACCAATGTAATAAATGCTACTTAGTCTTGTTAAAACTATAGAGACTAAAAAAAAAAAAAAAAAATCATAGGGACTAAAAACAAAACTTAATGAAATTATAGAGATTGATGATTATATTTTTCCTTGTTGTTATTATTATTCTAGCAAGTGGATGGACATTAATTCTTTATTTACTTTGGTGATATTATGGTTTTTTTTTCAAAAATAAAAGAGTAAAATACAATGGCCTCATTTCTACATGTTTTACTTAAATTATAGAAACCTCCTATTTATTGTTAAAACCTACACTTTAGTCCAATTATTAACCCCGTTAGGAATATTCTGTTAAATATTTCAAAATACTTAAATTTGTAATTATGTTGAAAATTTTAAAATTATTATTTTACTCTTATAATTTAATTGTCTGTTATCTCCTAATTTTAAAAACTTTAAATAATTATGTTCATATTTAAAAAATAATTTAAATTTTTTGTTAAAATTAAAAAAATAGAAGCAAATATAAATCGTTATGATCAAATGAGCGTAAAGCTGGCAGGAGTCTATGTAAAAAGCTAGCTAGGTTGGCCAATAATGGCCATTGCATTTTCCTAAAGTTGTTGATGCGCATGTCTTTTTTTTTTTTTAATTATTGTGCTTCATTGACGTACAGCTTTTGAATTTTTTCCCTGCTTATGTTCTTCTCTCATGATTTTAAAGTCATTGGATCATCGTCATCCAAAAACTTCATGGAATGTAGTATCTCAGATTGTGTTGGGAATTAGATATTTAGATTTGGTTTGATTTTATTCCTAGAATTTAATTTTAAAAACTAGTTTATAATTCAATTTTTAAAAGTTATCTTTTAAAATAAAACAGCACAAAAATATCTTCAATTGAAACATTTGTCTCTATTATATACTAAGTTTATTATAAATATTATTGGCCTTCGTTAATATTAAAAAGTCTTCAGTCTTGGGTCTGAGATGGAAAATGGAAGCGCACAAAAGTCACGGGAACTTTGAAAATTACTTATTATGGTCATTTCTTTATCATTAAGTTTAAACATATATCCCTAAACTTAAATAATGTTATATCTTCAAAATTCATGGCTTGGTTTAACTCTAATATATATTTTTTTATACAACTCTAATGTATTTTTAACTAAAACGTATTTTTATAAAAAGCAATAGTTCAGGTTAATTGAAGATTTTCTAGTGCAAATATAAAAAATTGACCCAAATATAATCTAAGTTTTTTGTTTCAAAAGAAATTTCCCATTATTTA